CTTGCAGGACTGGCCTAGGGTAATTTTTAGAGGGGTTTTAATTATATTTTAATTGGACAATGTTCAAATATTTCTTTTAATTAATTTTAAATTTGTAATTGTTATTTATGTATTTTAATTGATTGTCAGCCGCCCTGAGTCCGCGAGGAGAAGGGCGGGATATAAATCCAAATATAATAATAATAATAATAATAATAAACTATTCTAGAAGCCCACTTGTGGGGTAGCAGAATGGATTTTATATCTGAACACGACACAATTGGTCACGTTCAGGAAAATGTAGTTTTGGTTGCCTGCCAGGGCGAAAGAAATGAAAACTGATTAGAAAAACACCCGTCAACTTGCCTGTTGGCTGTGGCTTCCCGGGATATGTAGAGAATTAAACTGTTTCATTTGTGACCGAACTCTTGTAATGTCCCTTAGGTTCTTGAATATCTCATTCACTGCAGCCGTGGCTTTTGGAAACGTAACCTCGGTGGAAGACTCACAACCTGAAACAAGAGAATAAGAGTTGGGGGAAAATTGTTTAAGGCTGGCTTGTTCTGACAATTTGAGGTTTTCTTTGTTGTCCTGCTGGGGTCTGGCAAACTTGCCAAGCAGCCACTAAAAATGCCATCAATTTGAAGGCCACATTTGATAAGTTACAGCAGAGAATTAAAAAACAAATCTTTTTTACTCGGCCCAGAGTTTTTAAAGAGTCACCAGTTTATATTATTCAGCTACAAAAAAAATTAATAATAATAAAAGAAAATTGAAGTCTGGTTATATTGTCAGAAAAGAGACATTATGAGTTTTACCCTGAGAAAATGTACACCCTGATGCTTACACAAATGATGTTTTAGTTTTCTTTATACTCCAGTTTATATAACAGTCACACGTATAGTCATAAGGTCTTTCTGTCTCAATTTTGCGGCCACTGATTTTTTTAAAAAACCTACCCAGATAGCTGAACATATAGTTAAATATGTTTTTGTGAATGAATTTTCCCACAAAGTAAGAGTGACCAAAATAATAATAATAATAATGATGATGATGATGATGATGATGGAACGGACCTTGGAGATCATCTAGTCCAACCCCCTGCTCAGGCAGGAAACCCTATACCAGTGGTGGCGAACCTATGGCACGCGTGCCAGAGGCGGCGCTTGGAGCCCTCTCTGTGGGCACGCACACCGTTGCCCCAGCCCCGCCTCCCCCCATGGTCCCCTCCTCACCAGCAGCCCCCCTGGAGGAGAGTTGCCCCTGAGCGTGGCCCGCACAGAGCAGTTGCCCCTGGGCGCGGTCCGCATAGCCAGGCAGCAGGGACAAGACTCCGCCCTCACGCCCCATAGCATGCAGATGCTGCTGCGGGGTGTGGGTGGAGGGTGTGGCTGCCATGGCACGGCAGGGCTGCCTGTGGTGGGCCATGGAGGCTGTGCGTGGCCCTGCAGGTAGGTGTGGCAGGGGGCGGGCAGGGGCGGAGCAGGCAGGGCGGGAGGCGGAGCAGGGGTGGGGGGGCAGTTTTTGGGTACTCGGTCTCTAAAAGGTTCGCCATCACTGCCCTATACCCTTTCGGACAAATGGCTGTCCAGTCTCTTCTTAAAAACTTCCAGTGTTGGAGCATTCACCGCTTCTGGAGGCAGGTTGTTCCACTGGTTAATTGTTCTCACTGTCAGGAAGTTTCTCCTTAGTTCCAGGTTGCTTCTCTCCTTGGTTAATTTCTATCTGTTGCTTCTTGTCCTGCCTTCAGGTGCTTTGGAGAATAGCTTGACTCCCTCTTCTTTGTGGGGCAGCCCTTGAGATACTGGAACGCTGCTATCATGTCACCCCTCGTCCTTCTCTTCACCAAACTAGACATACTCAATTCCCGCAACCGTTCTTCATATGTTTTAGCCTCCAGTCCCCCGATCATCTTTGTTGCTCTTCTCTAATAACCATTCTCCATTTCCTCTGAATTCATGACATGACTCTGTGCCAACAACTTTTTTTTTTCCTGTCGGTCCTTCATGATGTTATACTGCTTATACTGTCACTGCCCATACAGTACTAGTTGCAGGTTTACGATCTCGGAGTCCTAGTGGACAATCGTTTAAATATGAGCCAGCAGTGTGCTGCAGCTGCCAAAAAGGCCAACACAGTGCTAGGCTGCATTAACAGGGATAGAATCAAGATCACGTGAAGTATTAATAGCACTTTACAATGCCTTGGTAAGGCCACACTTGGAATACTGCATCCAGTTTTGGTCACCATGATGTAAAAAAGATGTTGAGACTCTAGAAAGAGTACAGAGAAGAGCAACAAAGATGATTAGGGGACTGGAGGATAAAGCATATAAGAAACGGTTGCTGGAATTGGGTATGTCTAGTTTAACAAAGAGAAGGACGAGGGGGGACATGATAGCAGTGTTCCAATATCTCAGGGGCTGCCACAAAGAAGAGGGAGTCAAGCTATTCTCCAAAACACCAGAAGGCAAGAGAACAAACAACAGATGGAAACTAACCAAGGAGAGAAGCAACCTAGAACTAAGGAGAAACTTCCTGATAGTTAGAACAATTAACCAGTGGAACAACCTGCCTCCAGAACCGGTGAATGCGCCAACACTGGAAGTTTTTAAGAAGAAACTGGACAGCCATTTGTCTGAAATGGTATAGGGTTTCCTGCCTGAGCAGGGGGTTGGACTAGATGACCTCCAAGATCCCTTCCAACTTTATCATCATCATTATTATTATTATTATTATTATTATTATTATTATTATTATTATTATTATTATTATTATTATTATTATTAGTAGTAGTAGTAGTAGTAGTAGTAGTAGTAGTATTTTATCTATAACCAGTCAACTACGGAAGGCAGTTTTACCCTGGGTACAATTCGCAATGCTTGGTCTACCATTTTGCCTCTGGACTGCCAGGTGACCCACAGTAGCTGAAATTGACAGCAAACTTGATTCCAGGTGTTCCCTTTACAAAGCTTTTTTCCCCCCTCTCTTACTATGAAGTGCTGTTGTGTGGCTTGTACAGTTGTTCATTTGAATACCGTCTTCCTCGAATCCACCATTCCCACTTTCAATTCAGGAACAGAGTACAGAGGCAGATCTTGCCCAATACTAAGAAAATCTAACACAGTACAGATAATAGAAAATGTATTTACCGGTGTATTTTTAAAACGGGCCATTTTGTTAGAGCATCCTGTCACCATACCAACAACCCAAGTATTTATATAGCAACTGTAGGATGAGGAAGAGGTGGAGGAAATGTTAAAACAGCACTCTGTGTGGGGATAAATTTCTGCCATTTAGTTCTAACACGTAATATTTTTTTTTTAACTAATAAGACTAAAAAATGTTCAGACCGCCCGGACCCTTGGCAACCGATTAAGTCATTTATTAGGACAGAAACAGAACTGCTGCCATTGCAGCAGTAGCAGGCTTCGGCTAGTTTGAACTAGTCTTGGAAAACAAAGTCAGAACATTTCTGCTCTCTTTGTAACAAGGCCACGTGAGTGTTTATTTCAACTTTTACAGATGCCATAACTCTCTCGAGCTATTTTTACCTCGGAGAGCAGAGTTGAAAACGGTTATTTTAAAAGAAGGAATACATTCACTGTCATCGCAACCTGTAGTTGTGTAAATATAAAATCAGTCTCTTGCAAAATAATAATAATAATAATAATAAATGAATGAACAATTCAAGCTGGTTGCTAATACCTCCCCTTCTTATGAAAAGAGTTGATGCAGGTGGTTGCTGGGTATCTCCTGTAGGTATTGGTTAATCCTGATTTTCTAGAATTATTCTAATACAGTGTTTCTCAACCTTGACAATTTTAAGGCATGTGGACTTCAACTCCCAGAATTCCACAGCCAGTATTGCTAGCTGTGGAATTCTGGGAGTTGAAGTCCCCATGCCTTAAAATTGTCAAGGTTGAGAAACATTGTTCTAATACATCTTTGGAACAGAAACCTTGGGGACTCTGGTATTTCTCTCAAAAACGACACTCAGTCCTATCTGTCATGGCATCCTTCTGCACAGGTAAAGATTGAAGTGGTCCATTTCCTACTTGGATGCGTAGTTCCAGGAGGCAGAGCTGTGCTAGTGGCAAAGAGCCAAAAAGTGAGGATGGTAGTTGCAGCAACCCAATTCACCACACAAAGGGTGCGGTATGATCTGGATGAATATACCGCCGTTCTAGAACTGAAAAAAGTCTTTAAAGTTGCCAAGTTTGAAGACCCCCGAACCAGGGGAACAGCTTGCCTTCAGAAGTTGTGAGTGCTTCATCACTGGAGGCTTTCAAAAAGAGACTGGACAACCATTGTTGGTCTGAAATGGTATAGGGTCTCCTGCTTGAGCAGGGGGTTGGACTAGATGACCTCCAAGGTCCCTCCCAGCTCTCTTCTGAATTGAATTGAAATTGGACTGGTCCTCTGCCACATGCACACTTCTGGTGGTGCTCTTGGTAAGGAGATGGGAGTGTGACTGGATGTGAGGGCTGAAGTCACCTGAGCCCTACAACTGTCTAGGTCAGGAGTAGGCAACCTTGGCTCTTTTATGACCTGGGGACTTCAATAGCCAGAATTCCTGAACCAGCCATGCTGACTCGGGAATTCTGGAAGTTGAAGTCCATGGGTCATAAAAGAGCCAAGGTTGCCTACCCCTGACCTAGACAGTTGTAGGGCTCAGGTGACTGTGAAACAACACAGTTTTGCTCTCATTGTACAATGACATTCCGTACTGAGGGTGAAAAATGCTTCTTATTTACAGACAAGCCTGGAGACTAAAGATTTTAGTTAGTTAACAGACTATGGCAGTAACAGAATAACAGAGTTGGAAGGGAACTTGGAGGTAATAATAATAATAATAATAATAATAATAATAATAATAATAATAATAATAATAATAATAATAATAATAATAATAATAATAAAAAAATAATAATAATAAAGTTGGAAGAGACCTTGGAGGTCATCTAGTCCAACCCCCTGCTCAGGCAGGAAACCCTATACCATTTCAGACAAGTAGCTGTCCAGTTTCTTCTTAAAAACTTCCAGTGTTGGAGCATTCACCGCTTCTGGAGGCAGGTTGTTCCACTGGTTAATTGTTCTAACTGTCAGGAAATTTCTCCTTAGTTCTAGGTTGCTTCTCTCCTTGATTAGTTTCCAACCGTTGCTTCTCGTCCTGCCTTCAGGCGCTTTGTAGAATAGCTTGACTCCCTCTTCTTTGGGGCAGCCCCTGAGATATTGGAACACTGCTATCATGTCCCCCCTCGTCCTTCTCTTCGTTAAACTAGACATACCCAGTTCCAGCAACCGTTCCTTATATGTTTTAGCCTCCAGTCCCCTAATCATCTTTGTTGCTCTTCTCTGTACTCTTTCTAGAGTCTCAACATCTTTTTTACATCGCGGTGACCAAAACTGGATGCAGTATTCCAAGTGTGGCCATCTATTCCAACCCCCTACTCATACAGGAGACCCTATACCATTCCAGTCAAGTGGTTGTCCAGTTTCTTCGGGAAAGC